TTTTTTTTTCATTTGTCACACATGAACTTTGATTAACGATCGCGCACGATCACTTGATGTAGTGTCAGACTGACCAGCTGAGATTGATCGGGTTGAACAGGCTCTTATGGATCTATCGCACAGTCTGTAAGTAGTTTATGCATAGATAAAGTCGTGTGAAAATCACAGGGACAATTGAGCGGATGTCACTCATTGAAATCGCAATAGCACACGTGTGATCAAACTCACAGCATCTTTTTTTTTTTATCTCCACCCAAAGCCAAGGAGTTATGCAAGGCTCCCGTTAAAAAATCGTTTATTACGCAATTGAGGATGAAAATGAAGATCGTTTGCGTGCTTCGAAAGCCGTTTCCAATCTAGCTTAGATTATACACGATAAAAAAAAATTTCCTTTTTCTCAGTCCGCAGTGTATCCAGCGCTTCACGCCATGATTGCACGCTGGGTGCCACCCAACGAAAAAGGCATGTTCGTTTGGACGATGCAAGGTATACTTTCAGCCAATTATAAAACTAATCAACACTAAAAAAAAAAAAAATTAGTTACTGTCAACTGAAGATATAATTTTTCGTTTAAAGGTGGTCCCTTTGGTACATTTGTGACACTTTCGGTCTGTGGATTGGTAATCCACACAAACGGCTGGAAAGCTGCGTTCTACGTGACGAGTGGCTGCATGTTTGTATTTTATCTGCTCTGGGTATGGCTTGCCTATGATACTCCCGATGTACACCCGACTATTAGTGAAAAAGAGAAAAATTACATCAAAGAACAGATTGGTAGCTCTATCAGTAAAAAAACGGTAAATGTATTTTAACAATATCAAATTCATTTAAGAAAAGTAATTATTTTGATTTTTTTTTTTTCTAACCGTTACTTGATAATTTTTCAGCAAAAATTACCACTAAGATATATTGTTACGTCGTTGCCGTTCCTCGTTCTGTTGTATGCTCATTTTGCAAACATGTGGGGCATTTACTTTATTTCTATCAGTGGTCCCAAGTACACTCTGGAAATTTTAGGTTTTGACATGAAAAATGTGAGCATGCTGTGAGCTCATACTTGAAATTTTTAACAGAAAATATGAGCCTTTTTTTACTTTTAATATGATTTTTTAAGGCCGGAGTACTGACTGGTTTACCATACATCACAAGACTTCTGGCTGGTGTGTTGTTCGCATTAGCAGGCGACTTTTGTCGTAGAAAGAGCGTTATGACTACTGGTTGGATCCGTCGCATATTCATGATCTTCTGTAAGCTCTGACGCTCCTTAAAAATTTTCCCAGTATGCCATACCTATTATCTCATCAAATCTTTTTTTTTCTTTTGCTCCTAGCACACGTTCTACCTGCTATTTGCCTGATCCTGATTTCGTATGCTGGTTGCAACCGCTTTACGGCGATAGCGATGATGACACTTGCTCTGACCTTCAATGGAGCGGCTTGCCAGACGAGTCTGCAGAATCACCAGGACCTCGCCCCCAACTTTGCTGGATCACTGTACGGCATCATGAATACCTTTGGCAGCTTCTCTGGTTTTATCATTCCTGCGATACTCGGTGTTCTCATCAACGAACATGTAAGAATAATTTTTTTTCCACGAAAAAATGTGGTTCTAAAGTGATGTGTACGAATTTTTCGTGAACCGTTTTTTCATCTTGAAATTAGAATGGGATGCTGGAATGGCGTGTTATGTTCTGGATCTCATCGATAGTATTCGCCTCGGCAACCCTACTTTTCTGGATTTTCGGCTCAGCTGAAGTTCAGCCCTGGAACGATCTTAGCATTGGCTTGAAAACCGCCAACATTGAAGTTGCTGAAGAACAAAAGCGAATAAACTCAAAGGAAGCGGAAGCTAACGAAGAAGAGGAGAACGAGAAGCTATAAGGCTGACGATAGATTCGTCCATAGATTAGTCAATATTATTTTTAAATACTCTACAACAGCTGAGGTAGAGCTAGCTGGATCGTCGTGGCAGTCTAAAGAAAATATCCAACGATAAGTAGCGTTTAATCATGTATGTTGAATATTTTTCAATTTTTTAACTTTTTTTGTTTGCCACAATACAATATTCAAGACTATATTTCATTTCAAAACTTAAACGATTTTATTTAAGATTTTGAAAGGTAAGTGCTGAGAAAGTTAAAAGGATCTGAATAATTATTGTCAATGAAAACTTTATGTATTATCAATGTAGTTCATTAAAATCACTGATTTTTTTTATTTCAATTAACTCGGAGAAAAAACTTTTTGAACTAAAAAATATTTATCTGATGTTGAACTATGTATAGGTACAGAAAGCACAGCATTTATAAAGCATTATCTTAATTTTTATTGTAAATATAATACAAAAAAATTTTGTTTTTTTTTAATTTCGCAGTTTCGCGACACTGATACCGGCAGTGCTGAATTTGCTGATGCCCTACGCAGCCGATGCCCATTACATGTTGCTCGTCATTCTTCGCTTCATCATGGGCTTCTTTGGTGTAAGTTTGTACAAGAGGTTTTTGTAAGCTATATACAGTTCCGAGCTTCGTTTTCAATTAGGGTTATTTGTTTCCTTTTTACTGTTGACCCATCGGTTGAAGCGAGAGATTGTTAATCAAGAGAAACCGTGACGATCATTTGCACAAAAATTAACACCCCGTTGATTTAAAGGGGATTTTTAAAAACGCCCAAGGCCGGCGTCGTTCTTTTATTTTTATGTACATATTACTCAAACGCTAAAGAGCACAGCCAAGAGATTCGTTTATTATTTCTCTTTTTTTTTCTTTTTT